AATGAAGTCAAAGTCGGGGGACCAGGTCCACGGTTGCTCAACGTCGTCGATCTGGAATTTGCAGTTGGGAGGCACCCAGCCTGGCTGAATGGGTGAAATGTCGACACCCGTCACGTCAGACGTGGGGAACTCGTCGGCAAAGTCACTTAAATGGCAACGGTCAGAGATGAACGCTCTAAGAAGCTCGAGGGGGAAACATCTTACATGGCCCAGATGCCAGTCCCAGTGCCTAGGTCTAGGACTTTCTGTCTTGGTTGTCAGTACTAAAACTCATGCATTGCAGAAGTCTCAACATTGCTTACCCCGGGGTTCTCTGGCAGAGGCGAAAGAAATAGCCTGTCATCTAGCAACAGGGTTTCCCAGTAGTGCCTGTGAAAGGTGTTAGTGTTGTTGAATCAAATTTGAAGGCACTGCGGATTTACGCACGCAAGCTCTAGACCCTCATTCTGCTGCTCGTCATTAGGCCCCCAGTAGTCCGTCTTCTGTGTGTAAGTGCGACCATGGATCTTGCGATATTCGGTAATGCTTGCAGCTAGCGAAGCAGTTGACTCTGTGGCGACGCTGCGTTGCTTAAATCAGCCAGGATAATGAAATAGGGCGGTCAGCTTTTGTACCTTTCCGAGCCGGCCAGTGAGTCTTCGTCATCATCTGGGGCAGGTTGAGCATCCTAGAAGCCCGAATAGCATCAGCAAAGTGCCCCTGGCTCACTTTTCTGTCTTGCGTGCGAGTTTGTGGTCGCGAGTTTTGTGGGTATCATTGGAAACAGGAGACTTATGATCATACCGGCTGGGCTGCGACTAGTTCAGGTTCAATGACAGCTGCAGGAGAAGCAGCGGGTGCCTCTGTTGGCGGAGAGCCGGCAGCGGTTGGGTTGCCCTCGTCTGTAGCCTGCATTGTCTAGGTGATTGAGTGGTCAAATGTCACTCTCAGATACTGCAAATCACGAAGAGACCACAAGATTCTTCAGCAGATGAGGCGGGTTTACCCCTCATTATTATACCGTAAGATCCGGGGCCCTTTTTGGCTGTCCTACTTCTTGGCGACATGGGAGACGGCTGGCTGCTCTGCATGTTGGAGGAGCCAACAGACCATTTGGACAAATGACAGATCGCGGACCCCCCCGGTACAGTATATGCTACTAGGCGGTTTCGGGCAATCGAATCGCCAAATGTTTCTATCGATGAATGCCCAGGAGCGAGGGGCGACAGCCATTCATAGTGCGCTATTGCAAAGCGTGTGCGATAAGCTGTTTACTACCGAAATAGCACAAAATCTTGATTGGTTTCCTTGGTTTCTACTCTTCAGCGGCTTTTAGTTTCTACGAATAAGTTGACAAAGCCATTCAAGGCAATATCTCATGCGACTTCAATGGCAGTGCTTGATAGCGCGACTTGTTGTCTGCCACGTTGTCGTTGATCGCATCCGTCGCACCTTACTCCTACTCACCGTGCGAAATTCTTTCACATCAACATGAATGCTACTTCGAGAGGATGATATGCCTGGCGTTTACAGGCCTGGGATGTTGTATGGTCAAGCACCTTTATTAATGCAATATTTTACTCTTCTCACTCATATAATCTTTTTCCTTATTGCTTTCTTTTTCGAAAATTCCTGAACCCAGGTTGCTTCTCTATGTCTACCTGTATTTCTACTCCAATCCCTGCGGTAATTAGTCGGTTCATCATCCGCTGTTGACGCTGGTAGCTTTTCAGGCCAGGCGTTGCTAGGATCGTCGTGAGCAGAGTTCTATGGTGCATCAATTGATTGACGGCGGGAGCTTATCCACGTCACCGTCTTTGTCCCGTACTGTTATCGATGGAGATACTCTCAAGTTCTAGCTACCCTTCGATATGACATGGGACTTGGGCCGTCCGACATTAGACATCTCTTAGCTTGGTTATGTGTCATATTGGCATGTGTTTGCCTCCAAGATGGCCCTCGACTACTTTAATTACCAACCTCAGGGTCGCACAAGATTTACAATGAAAAAAAAAGTTGACAATAACAGCGAATGCAGCAGAATTATGACGAGAAATCTTTTTCGCAGGATTTTCTACATCGCGAAATTGCTCAGTCATCGAGTCTATTGAGGAGTGGGGATGAAGGTGATTTCTTTGTGGAGCTTTCACTGGGCATGGAAAGCAGTGAAGAGAAGTTTGGGTGGCTGCTAGAAAATAGGAATAGTGCCGCGAGGCCGAATTTTATGTGAATTTATTGATTTTCTTGCAGGTAATCTTGAAAAATCATGGATAAAAGCCGGGGATATGGCGCCGTGTCAGTTGTACGATTTGGACAAGGCGCTCTCACGAGGTTTCACAACCGACATTACAACACTACGAGTTTCCCCCCTCTGAGTCACTGGGACCCTCCAACTAAGCCATTCACAGAAGTAGTCTGAGATAAGAGAATCCTTCGAGGTGTTCTTCTCTCACTTGAGCTGTATCACCCCTCATTTTTCCTTGATTCACTGAGGCTGAGTTCAGCGAGTAATTTGCGGGCAGATGCCGTGCGGTCCGTGCCGCAGAATGAAATAAATCGTGGCTGGGAAACAACTCACTGGAAAAGTGCATCTCACAGCTTATCAGGTGGCTCGCACTCACTTCACAGGCTCACTCTCACGCTCCGCTGCTCTCATAGGCTGCACTCACCCTTCACTCAACGCAACGCAACGCAAGGGTCCGAATGCAGTGGCACGCGATCACCTGCCACAAAAATCTCACCCGTTCTTACCTCAGACAAAATCAACGGGCCTGCCTTGTGTGAGGTGTGTTTTGTTTCGTTTGCGGCAAGGGGGCTCTTTCCCTTTTCCCTTCCTTCTTTTCTCAAACGGCTGACCGCCTGGTGTCAGAATCCCAACCGAACCTTCTTCACCACAAAGCGACATTCTACCAACAACACCAACCGCACGCATCATACCAGCAACAGGGAACCATCCGTCTCTCGCCGCACCACACCAACACCAGCATCCATCTCTCGCCAAGCGGTCGCTCCTCCAAGGGAACCCCGGCTCCTCCCTCCCACCACCAAAGACCCCGATTGCTCCAGCACCGCACTGCACTGCAACAATGATGCTGCAGCGCGCTGCGTGCCGCCCCAGCGTCGGCGCCGGAGTCGGCCTCCGTCTCTCCTCAGCCCCGAGCACCGTTGTCCGTGCTGCTCCGCGTTGGACGCGTCTTTACTCGGCCGGCGGCCCTCCGAAGCCCAAGTCGTCAAGCCGCGTGCTGCCAGCCGTCGCTGTAGTCCTCGCAGGCGGTGTCGGGTACCAGCTCGCAGAGTACCAGAAGACGAGCAAAAGCGGCGCTATTCCCACGCTTTCCGGCCCTGTCGACCTCGACGCCCTGACCGAGTCGCCCGTCGACAGCGGCAGCTTCGAAACGGCAGATGCGAAGCTTCGCGAGGATGTGTTTGTCGGCTCATTCACGGCCGAGGGCAAAAACACCCACGTTCACGCCGCCAGAGTCGCGAGCAATCACCCCGTCGAGGACATGATGGCCTTCTCCCTGGCTCCCGGCGTGGGCAAGTCCGAGACGCTCTTTAACGGAGTCTACGATGGTCACGCGTTAGTGCCCCCATTCTCTTCTCCGCCACACCTTACTGACCCCAAAACAGCGGATGGGCAACTTCAGTCGTGCTTAAGGACGCCCTCATCCCTGCCGTCTCCGCCCCTCTATCCCAGCTTCCCAAGGGCACGCCAGACAGCACCATCGACACCACGATCGTCAAGGCCTTCACCAACCTCGACGACCTTCTCTTCGCCAACGCCAAGAAAGCCGTCGACGGCCTCAAAGCCGGCACCTGCGAGACCGCCGACTCCCGCGTGACCTCCGTCCTTGCCCCCGTCATCGCCGGCTCCTGCGCCCTCCTCTCCATTTTCGACCCCGTCACCTCCACCCTCCGCGTCGCCTGCACTGGTGACTCCCGCGCCGTTCTGGGCTCCATTCCCGCCGGCGCCACCTCCTACTCCTCCCTTGAGCTTTCCAAGGACCAGAACGGCCGCAACCAGGACGAGTTCGACCGGCTCGCCAAGGAGCACCCCGGTGAGGAGGCTGACATGATCGATCCCAAATCAGGGCGCCTGTTCGGAATAGCAGTCACACGCGCCTTTGGCGACCATCGCTGGAAGTGGGACAACGACTTCATCACTCATATCCATCAGAACTTCTGGGGCACCGGCCCGCGCCCCAAGACCAAGACGGCACCCTACATGACCGCCGCGCCTGTCGTCACGACAACCAAGATTGAGAGCCCTGACTTTGTTATCCTTGCGTCGGACGGCCTGTGGGACCACATCTCGTCAAAGGACGCCGTGGAGTGCGTCTCGCAATGGATCGCGGCGAAGAAGGCCGGTAAGCAGACGCCACAGGACAAGCTCGCCGCTACACCCGGCCAGAAGAGCGAGCTCGACTTGACCTACGGCTGGCCTAACTGGTACGCCAAGCCTGAGAACTTTGTCGTCGAGGATCTCGACAACGCCGCCGTCCATCTCATCAAGAACGCCCTCGGAGGCGCTCGCAGAACCCTCTTCACCGGTGTCGCCCTCGCGTACCCTCCCCTGTCGCGTAGTGTAAGAGACGATGTCACAGTGCAGGTCATCTTCTTCCAAGACCCCGCGAAGTCGAGCTGATGGTTGGCGTTTGATCATGAAGGATTTACTCGGATATGAAATGGTTCGGTTGGCGTTATAGGCTTATGGGCTTTTCCTCCGTACGATGCAGCTGCCATGGCTGCCAACACCATGAGGTGAGGTGTTTCAGATCTCACACCACTAAGACACGATAAAAACATGCAAAAAGTAGGAAAAGTAGAAAAACAATACAATAAGAACGATTCATGGCAAACAAGCTCCCTTAGTCTGGGTGTTCACAGCTTTTCGAAATCAATCACAGAGGATTCATCATGGTCACATTTAATCATGTCAGAGGCGTGGGTTTAAACTTGTTGACTCGTACTACTGATCCCCTGACAACTTCAGCATACAACTCGACAGAACCCACAGCCCTCTAGGCAAACTCATCCTCGCCAACCCACTCGTACTCATCATCCTGCTCGGCATCTCGGTCCTCGTCGTCCAGGATGCAGTAATCCTCATCGTCAATCTCGACCTCCGTCGTCTCGCCCTCTGTCTCGGAGGAGGCACCTGATACCGCCACTTCTTCGGGGACTTCAGCGCCCGACTCGCGTAGCAACTCGCACGTGACGCAGTAGCAGCTATCGAGTAGGATATCGTCGGATGCCACGCAGGCGCAGACCATGTCCTCGCCATCGCAGGCCTCGTCCTCGTAGCCGCCGATGTGGGACCAGGAAGCGTTGGCGCATTGGCATTCGGCGCACTGCTCTTGCTCAGGATCGTCCTCCTCGGGTTCGTCCTGCTCGGGCTCCTCCGTCACAGGCTCGTCCTCCATCACAGTCTCATCCTCGTGTGAAGGCTCATTTTCGTGTGAAGGCTCATCTTCGTATGAAGGCTCATCTTCGTATGAAGGCTCTTCGTCGTACGCAAGCTCGTTCTCATCTAAAGACTCGTCTTGGTCGTCCACGGAAGACTCGTCCTCGTCCTCATCTTCCTCATCTGAAGACTCTTCCTCGTCCTCATCTTCCTCATCTGAAGACTCTTCCTCGTCCTCATCTTCCTCATCGGAAGACTCATCGTCGTCCTCATCTTCCTCATCCGAAGAATCATCCTCATCCGAAGAATCATTCTCTTCTGAAGAATCACCCTCATCTGAAGAATCATCCTCATCTGAAGACTTATCCTCATCGTCCTCATCGTCCTCATCTGAGGACTCTTCCTCCTCAGAATCCATCAAAGTAGGTGGATCATCCTGGTTGTAATGGTTCATGGAATCCTCATCGTCCTCAACGTAAGGTCCACAGTAACTCATTGGCTCATTCCCTTCTGTGTATAGCCCGACCTCGTCATCCACCTCTGCAACGCTATCTGCAGCCTCTTCGGGGATGGGGACGCCCGCATCAGGATACAATGAACGTGTTGCAGAACTAGTTTGAGGAGCGTCTCGAGGAGCATCCGAAGAAGCAGCCTCCTTCTCCGCCATCTTCTGAATCATCCTATCGACCGAGGTGGACGCCCGCTTCAGGTCCTCGTTCAAGGCTCGAACGGTCGCCGCGGTGGAGATGTGCAAGTTCTGGAACTTGGCGGCGAGTATGTTGTACGCCAACTCAAAGTTGACGGGCGGCTTAGGAGCAGACCGAGGGGGTTGAGCCGTTGCTCGGGTCGTTTCTGTCCGGACGGGTGCCGGCGGGGGAACAGAGGGTGCCGGCGGGACATCATAGCAGGCTGTGTGCCGGAGAGGATGGGTGGACGTGTACGGGGTAGGATAGCTGGGCCTAATCGGCGGGGTAGCAGAGTAGAATGCCGGGACGGCAGCGTAGTTGAGTGTCGACGGGGAAGCATAGTTCATCCAGTTAGCATAGTAGGGCGGCGACGGGCCAGTACAGTTGGGCGCGTACGGAGAAGTATAGTTGGGCCTGTACGGGGTAGGATGCTTGAGGTCGAGAGAGGGATGCTGATTGTAGGAGCAGGAAGTACGGCCGTTCTTCTCTTGATCGGGGGTCTTCTTAGCTTCGGTCCGGTTCTCGGGCTGTGGGAACGGTGAAACCGGCATTCGAGCCTTTTCTGTCGAGACGGTTGGCGACGGGGGAGTATTGCAGGAGCCGTACGACTCAGCGATTACGGCAGGAAACTGCCCGCGAAGGGTGTCCACATAGAGCGAAGGCCGCTTGGGTGTCGGGTAATGTCTTTGTGAAAGCTGTCGGTAATCGCTTTCGGACGGCCAGATTGGACGGTCCCCGGAGGTCATTTCGGCCCCACTGCCCTGATTGTTCTTCTCCTGCTCCGGAGCTTTCTCCGTTTCGTTCTGCTTCCCGAGACGGGAACTGGGGCCCGCCGGAGTCTGGGCTGCTTCTCTCAAAGAGGATGTATCGTATGGGTTCTGGGGCGGAGGATGATGAAACCCAAAATAAGTTCCCCGATATCCTATTTTGCCTTGTTCAAGGTCCTTCAAGGCCTTCGCGGCCCTCTGCGTTTGCTGAAGTAGCCTCTCGTCGGCGAGTTTATTCCTCCTCATCATTTCATGGTAAGCTTCACTTTGAGACCGGCCGTCGCTAGTCACCGCGGGCGGCGTCGGACCCTGATGCATCCAGGCCGCAGCCGACTGCTTAGCAGCACTAACGTTAGGCCTCTTCTCAAACATCGCCATAGGCTTCAGATCATCCTTAGGCTCCTGATCTGAAACAAAGACGTCAGAGGCAAGACCTTCATGAAAATTGTCGCGGGCCTCCGGGTTGAGAAGCTGCCTCTCAGGAGAAGCCCAGGGGTTGCAGGACACGGCGTCTCCCTTTTCAGAATCCTCATTTCTGTCGTTCGACGTGGGAAAGACTTGACGGCGTGGCGCGTAAGTCATGGGGGGGTTCGCGACGTAAGGAACGTCAACCTTTTGCTTCCCGGTGGCCTTCTCCTCAGAGGTGTTGGTCTGGTCGACCTCGGCATTGCTGTCCTTGCCCTTGAACAAGTGCTGATACGCCTCCGCCAGAGTGACGCGCTTAACGTTCTCACTCTTCCACTTCTCGAAGCCGGCCCTGAAGTTCTGGCGCACACGCTCGTTGGACTCGGCCTCAGCCTCAGTTTTGGCCTTCTTTGAAGCCGAAGCATTCTCACTCGCGAGCTGCTCCCGCAGCCGCTTTACCCTCTGCAGCTGAACGTCCATCTGCACAGCCGAATCAGCCCAGTGCTGCTTGCGCTTCCACTGCTTTTCTTGCTCTGAGAGATCTGAAGCGCGTCCAATCACCGCCATCATCGTCTCGTTCGAACGTTGGGGCCAGCCTCTCAGGAAACTGTCCTGGTTGGAGCGGCCTGTCCAATGCGGGTCATGGAACACATCTGACAGGAAATGCTCCCTGTCACCGTTATCGACGACAAGGTCTTCTTCCATTTGGCGTTGTCTAGCCTCGAAGGTCTGTAGGTTGCGTTCTCTCTTGAAGGCAGCATCCTCGGCTCCACTGCGGTCGACGGCTTTGCCCTTTCCCTTGCCGTCAGTCTCTTGGGGAGACATCTCGGAGAACATTGACTTGATCAGAGGCATACCCCAGGCCTTCTTGAAAGTATCAAGAATCTCCTTCGTAGGCGAATAGAACAAAGGCTGCTCTGTACGCTGCTGCTCCGAACCGTCATTGCCGTCGGTCGACCAAGAATTAGAACCGCCCTTTAGGTGCTCAATAATCTTCTCCACACCGTCGCCACGGTTGTCTTTGGGTTTGGCGAGCCCGTAGGTCTCCGGCTTCAGGGAGCGCTTGAGCCCCTTGAGCTCCTCATCGGTCGGGGTAAACACCTTCTTCAGCGTAGCCGCATGCTCCTGATCCAACTCCCAGTCCAATTGCTTCGCGGTCTTCTCGTTCTGACGCTTGATCCGCGCGTCCGTACGGTCATTGGCGCGCTCCCACGCAGCCCACGCCTCAATCCGTTCCTGTGACGTGGGCTTCGTGTTCCAGCCTCTGGGCTTGTGATGTTGGAACCGGCTTTCAGGCCACTTGGTGGCCCTCTTGGGGGGTCCGCTCCCACTCGCCTCGGGATACAACGCGGCCTTCTGCTTCTCTACTGTGGCGCGGACTCTCTGCTCTACCAGTTTATCAATTCGCGCTTGCAGGGTCAATCCCTCAGAATATTCCACCGTCTCGGAAAGCTTCCGTCGCAGCCGTAGGGTCTCAAGCCACATCGTAAGCGTGTCCGCCGTGGAGCCCTTGACGCACTCCTCACTGACCGTGCCGACAGGCGTGAGGCTGGCGTTGTGCCACTTGACCTGGTCGGCGAAAAGCTCCAGGGCGCGGGAGACCTCGGCCTCAGTGATCTCCGTGTCGATCTCGCGACCCTCGGATTGGCGGATGCCGTAGACGCAGTCCTCCAGGGCCGTAATTCCGGGGATGGGCGCACCGTCAGGGAAGACGGAGAAGAAGTAGCGTGTAAGGCCTTTGTCCGATTGCATTTTGGCCAGGATCTGCTTCCTCTGCTGGTTCAAGCGTTCCTCGTTCTTTCTGTTCTCTCTGCGGGTGCGGACGGCGGCCTTGACTTCGTCCTTGGTGTACTTGGCGTCCATCGGGGTACCGTTCAGACGCCTGTTGTCTGCCATGATGGAGCTGACGGGCTTAGGGATGTCCAAGTATGTGATCGAATCCGCGGTCTCCTTGCTACGCTTGGAGGGATCGGCGTCCTTCCGCCATGACGACGATGAAGAGGGTGACTGCGGCTGCGCCGTGTTCTTGGTTGGGAATGACGTACGGATATTGTATGGGTTGAACATCTTGTTGGATTTGACTGTTTGGTGTACTGAGACAGAACCAACTTGTAGATCTGAAAGTTCGACAAGGAGGGAAAAGAGGGTGAGCGGCGTGTGGCCCAAAAGTTTCGACTTTATACTCTTCTACCACAACGGAGTTATGTCAAAGCCACCTCTCTGGCATGGCTTTCAGACTGCCTGCTGGCGACCCATGGGCTTCAGAGTTCTCACGGTAAGCTGCCAGGCAACACGCCTCAAAGGTAAACGCAGGTACAGGTGAGCTCTATTATTTACCACAAACCCCCACAGGACACCTTGATGAGATGTCCAAATCCTGCTGAAAAATACGAACACAAAGGGGTATCCATGCGAAACGCTCCAGAAAATTCCAAGCCTCAACCCTTGTGAGGCACATATTCCGACTATCGCTGCGAACCGGAGCAAGTGTCCGATACGGACAGCCGCGAAAGTCGGGCACCAAGGTCGCAACCGTGGTGACTTTTGTGAAAAGACATAGGGGGTGTAGACGGACACTATTCGTTGCCCACAAAATCCTCGCCGTCGGACTCCAATCCAGGATATTCGGAGCCATCCTCCTTCATTTTGGAGACGGCCTGAGTGATGAACTTGTTGTCGGGCCTCAAGGCTGCGTATATGTGCGGAACCACGGTGACAGGAACCTTGTCGCGTGAAGCCGTCGTCATGGCCTTGATGTGCTGCAACTGTTTACCAGCCATGCGCCACAGGAGGGCGGACTTTCGCTTGTACCAGTACTTGAAGGCAGTACTGGCGCGAATCAAGGCCCACGTCGTGTGCTCCTCCGTCTTGAACGACTGTTTGAGATACGCCGTGGCCAAGGGGTTGAGCTCCTCGTCCGCCCGAGGCTGAATGGCACACCATAGTTCGTAGACTTCGAGCATACGGCGAGGAAGCTCGTCCTTGTCCTTGGTCATGGTTACACTTTTGCCCCACTGCTCTTCCAGCGCCATCAAGTCCTTCTTCAGGTTCTTCAACACCTTCTTCATCACTGGCATAGTCGACGCCAGCTTCTCAAGCTCATCGTGTGGCGTGACTAAGTCGGGATCCCAGTACTCAGCTGTCAGCTCCTCGTTGTCTTCCTTACTCAACTGAAGAGACCTCAACTCGCGCTTAGAACTAGAGCGCGTATTCATCGCTCGGTGGAACCTCTCCAGCTCCTTGTCGATGGTCGGTTTGGCAACCGAGAATTTCAGGTAGTCAATAATGTGGGCAGGATTACCTCTGCTAGACCAACTCTCACTCTTGTACGCTGGCTCATCCAAGTCTCCAAATTTATGGCTGTCGAGCACCTCTCGGCGGAACCTCTTCCAGTCATCTGCCGTAAACTCGAAGCCCTGTTTGGACTGGTCAACGAGGTTCCCAAGAAGTGTGCTTAACCACAGCGCATAAGTGTTGTTTACACTGTTGATCTTGTAGCAGAGCCGTTCTTTAAAGTTCGTCGCGATACCCAAGAAACTAGGGCGCACACTGAAAGCGATACTCTGCTTGATCATTGCAGGGACCGCTGCGACCTTGCCGTGTCGCCGCACAAGGTCTTCGTACAATGTCTTGTCTTTCTTGAGGTACCTGGACAGGTCTGGACTTGGGGGAACATTGGCGTTAACAAAGTTGGACACAATGGCTGGTTCCCAGCAAACCCAAGCTTTGTCTCCGTCGTAGTCGCCGCCAGACAGCTTGTCGGCCAGTGGAATGTCTCCTTTGGCTGAGAAAACGATGACATCCTTCAGCGCATGAAGCTCTGGTTTGAAGACTGCCTTTACCCGCTGGACATCGCTCACAAAGTGTGCAGGAGATCGGGCCACGAGAACATCGCACCCGTGTAGCATAGAGTCGGAAAAGGATTCAGTCTGGAACTTGGATGAGAAGCAAAGATGCACTTCGTTTTCTTCCAACACACCCCAAAAGTCGATGACCATGTAAAAGTAGGCAGAGTTGGGAATCTTGATGCTCATCTTCTTCTTCAGGTTCTCGCACTTTTGGCGACGAAGATTCCATGCGATGTCCTGAATGAACTTCTGCTTGGAAGGCTCGAAGCCGCCGTCAATGAGAAAGTTCATCGTTTCCTCGTTGGAGTCGGGGAGGCCGGCCAGAAAGGGCACACTGTTGTGGATCAAGCGTTGCTTCCGACCGATGGAGTTTTCGTTCACCCACTGTCGAAACTGTACCGGACACTTCATGGCATTTTTCTGGCCTTCTAGTTCGCGGTTGAGTTCATCTACGAGACTGTCTCCGATGGCCTTCCTCATGACTGGCTTGTCTACGGCGCGGTCTTCTAGGACAGGAAGAAATTGGATGTTGAGACTTGCGGATCGAGGCTCGGCTGCGTGGCTCTTGATTTCGAGCGTACGATGTTCTGGATCTAGGTAGTCGCAATTCCACTTCCTCTGGGACGGCCATGTCTCTATCCACAAGTCGTCTCCAGTGTCCTTAATGTCAATAAGCCACATACCTTTGGCAGGGCCGAAACGCCCCTGAATTGCAGAAGGAATGTCTTGCAACCCGAGGACATCTTTGATCTTTTGAGCGAGCTTAGGTGACATGCGGCCAATACCGTCGTTCATTACTTTTCCGATTGGCGACAGCATGTCTTTCTCCTGGTGACGGATCTGATTGCGATTCAGGACAACAATCGGGGTTGTTTTGCTGAGTCCAAGCTGAATGCGGGCAAATAATTTGAGGTACGGCTGATGTTCGTTGCAGTCCAACTGCAAGAGCCAGTCGAGCATGTCTCGCACCTCCAGCTTGACCCTGAGCTCACTAGGAGTTTCCATAGGCATTGAACTCATGGGGATAGCAGCATGGAAGTTGTTTCCATTTTCGGCAAAAAGACTTATCTTTTCTCGAAAGATGGGCTTGGGGTCAGGACCAAGGCTTACGTTGGTCTGTGGCGTCTTGTACCCTGCGTCTCTTGAATAGAAAGCGCGCCATTGCCGGCCGGCGAGATAATGCAGCCGAGAAGAGAACCAATCAATAACTTCTTCGGAGATTTTGGGATTATTAATGGGCGTTTCCCAAGAGTTCGGGGACGGGATGACAAGCTCAATAAATCGGTCGGATCCAAATCGGCGGTGAAGGCGGCAGCCCTGGTCTAACGCGATTGGCTCCATTGCCAAAGAGAAGATTGGCCCGGATTTGACTTTCTTGGTTTGTACAAGTGAGGCCGTGAAAGTGACGTGCTGTCCTCGAGAAGACTTGAAGCCACTCAGACCTGCAGTCCAAGCATCCGCTGTAGGTCTCTCAGGGAAAGCTTTGCCGGCGAACGATGGGTGTGCGAGCAGCGCTTTCCAGAGATTATTGTAGTTGATCCAGGTTTCATCGTAAGACATGAGGGTTTCACCAAGGTCGACACCGCAGTGGAGTGCGATACGGGTGATCTCCCACGCAACAGCAAAAGGAGCCCGGTTGAGCCATGCCGGGAATCTGGCTAGGGCATTGTCAGTACAGAAGCTCAGTAGTATGAGTTGAGCGCAGTAGCCACAGCGCGACAAGGGCAAGGGCCGAGAAACTCACGCCAGGTGGCGATAAGCCGGGACTGGAGGTCAACTGGCTCTGAACGTTTTGATGGGCTCATAATTGGCTGGTACAGGGCGGGGTCATCAAGACCTGAGATCTCCGAGTAAATCGTTGTGAGACCGGGGGAGCTGTCGCCCGGGGTGGGTACATAGCCGGGCGGCTTGGTGTAGAGCCTTGATGACACCTCAGCCTCATGCTCCGTGAAGGAGACGTTGAGAGCATCCAAGTGACCTGACGAAGCTGGGAAGGGGTCTTGTGACTGAGAAGATCTGGGCTCCTGCGAGAGTACCGGTCCTCGTATCCTTGCCTCATAGCTTGGCGCTGGGACTGTCTCTTGAGTACTAGGAGGAGGCTCATTCGCGGCAGAGAATAGCGAAGCCCGGCTGGTGGTGGCCGATGTTGCGACGGAGGCAGCAGCATACACGCTTTCCCGTAGGGGCGGGAGCACATTCGACAAAGGTTTAGGCGTGATGTCGCTGAACGGATTGTCTCTGGCGAACTTGGCTGAGGGCAAATCAGGTTTGGCAGATCGGGAGCGGCTAGGGACCTTATCCAAAGCATCGGCAATAGCTTCGTCAATTTCTTCGTCAACCGCCGGGCTAGCTTTGACCCTCTTTGGGGAGTCCTTCGTGTCCTCGGGCGGCCTTCTCTTAGACTTGGGAACCTCGATGGAACTGTAGACTGCCGGGCCGCTCTGGGCACGCGCAAAGGGTCTTGGCTTGGGAATATCCTCCCTGTCCTGTGGCTTAGCCTTCTCCAGCACGCTGATTAGAATCTCTTGAAGCTCCAACACCTCTCCCGGAGATTCGGCTATTGGTCGTCTCGCTGTGGCAGGGACGGGGTCGTAACAGTCGGACAAACGAATCCATTTCTGGCTGGCGGCACGAGCCTCTAAGTGGAAGGCATGCAATATCTTGTCGAGAAGAGTAGTGTTTTGGAAGCAGTGGAACCGGATGCAGCACACAATCTTGTCGCTCCGGGCGAAAGCTGCATCGTGTTTGCGGCGGCGCTCGGAGTGTCTCGGGGTCAGGGTACGGTCAGGGATCTCGATGGCGAGGTTGTAATCGCGGTTCAGCTTGTCGATGGTCTCGGCGAGTCGCTCGATATGTTTCGGCTTTTTAGGGGTTCTCGGTGCAGACTGGGCGTGGGCGGGCTTGGTATGCGGTGCCATGGTTGCGACGAGGTCTAGAAGGGTAGGGAGAAGTCAATTTTTCGGTCTCCAGCCAAGAACATCAGGGAAAGAAGGGTACCTCAGTGGATTTCAGATGGACCTATTAGTCCAGAAGATCATGATGGCAGTCGTCGGAGCACCAAGTTGCGGCAAGGCTGTGCCATGTCGAGAGGCGCAATCGAACGGAGGGTCTTTAGCCGTTGGGCGCAACGGGGGGAAGGCGAGGCGGCGGGGTACGGCAGCTCGAGATGGAGAGGTCGAGGGCGAATGCGACACAGTGCCACGAGCTGGTGAGGCAGAGTCGCCGCTGGTGCGGGGGAAGAGACCAGCTTCGAGAGAGCAATATGTGGTAAGGTGATGTTTGCTTGAACAAACGCAGGCTGCCGACACCTCGCAAGGGGGAGAGCGGCTGTGACGACTGTGACGCTACACAGACTCAGAGGGAGGAAGGAAGGCGCTGCTGCGGTACAAGGTACATCCCACGCAGCAGAGACATCAGCGAGCGGGAAGGGACGACGGGCGCTGGAAAACGAGACGGGAAGGCGCGCATGGTGGGGCCTGCGCAAGCTCTGTCATTGGGCGAGACGCACAGACACCACGGGAACGGCGGCTAGCCCGGGGCTAAGGAAAAACAGTAGCGCCATTGCCCAATCAAAAGACATATGTGGGTCCACGGACAGGATTCAGCACGGACCGCACCGGCAGCTAAGGCAGGGACCGCCCTGAATTATCTCACTGCTCTGTCTCACTGAAGCATCTCTCAGTGAGTCTACGTTCTCATGTGACAAACAATCAGAGAGTGAAAGATTGGGGACATAATGTGATGCCCAGTCTTCATCAACCTTGTGTGTTGTCGAAATTGCAATGCAAATTCTCGGGACATTCGAGTTTACAGCAGGCTCTCGCTGCCGACAGTTACTCTTTACCATCAATTCCGCTTGATTCAAATAGGCACCCCCATATGGTTGGGAGGTCGCCTCAACCTCAACTCTCACCCAGGAACCCTTATACACCACGCCGCCTTCGTTGAATCTTTCTGAGAGGATACTGAGGCTCGCCAGTAACAGGCTGGTCGGTCCTGCATCTTTGCATGGCTTCTTGCTGATCATATGCTCGCTGCAAGACCTAGAGGTAAGACCCAAGGCTTGTCCTATCCAGGAATGACGACTTTAACTGCTTGATTTCCACGACGAGATCTCGAACTAATTTTTGCTTCAAGGACTTCTATAAGTATGCGGCACCTAAAGTCGGCTCTCTATCTGTGCTGGTGGCGGGGCTTCCCTCGACCTCTCACTCGCCCTCTCGTCTTCCAGCACCTTCCTAAACACAGCCTCGACATCATGCTCATGGATCCAAACAGGCTCAACCCGATTCTTCATCCTCGCCCTCAGTCCCTCGTCTGTCTCAACAATCCCGACCCTCTCCACCTTCTTCTTATTAGTCGAATGCACCGTATCAAGCACTCGATCTGTATGCGCTTTCCTTGTCTTCTCATACAGCCTCAAAGCCCTCTCAATGTCCCTTGACGAAGGCAGCTCAGCAGCTCCGGGAGGGTATACATGCTGAATAGCAGTCGTAAATGCCCACGCATCATCAATAGCTAGACTGCCACCCGCAGCAAACGCTCCACCATGCGCATGCGCAGCGTCACCCGCAAACGTCACCCTCCCCTCCCCAAGAACCCAGCTCTCCAGCCCATGCGCCGAGGCATTCGGATACACCTTCAACGAATCCGCCGGCGTGGAGTCGATAATCTCTCTGACCAGCCGATGCCAGTCCTTGTAATGCTCCTTGAGCAGATTCACGTCGCTGTCCGTGTTCCACACCGTGTCCTTGTACAGCGCATCGCTCGCGTCCGGGTCGCTCTGATGCGAGGCAACAATGCAGAACAAGTCCCGGCCCAGCTTCGACATGAACCACGTCCGGTCGACGCCCCACCAGTGCTCTGCCTCGTCTGGGACGTCGGGGATGTGCGCGAGGTGCGAGATGGGGTACACGGCGCGGAAGGCCGTCCAGCCGGTCCACTTTGATCGGGACGACGGCACGTAGAAGCTCCGCACGCCGGAGTGGATGCCGTCGGCGCCGAGGAGGATGTCTGCCGTGGTGGCTGTGCCGTCGGTGAATGTAATGTTGAGTCTCCCTGTGACCTCGTCGTTTGAGATGCTTGAGAAGGCTTTATTTAGGTGAATTTGCGAGGGGTCGATGTGCTTGAGCAGCGCTTGTTGTAGGTGTGGCCGGTGGAAGCGGGCTGTCTTGTGGCGTGGTTCGACATCGCCGTGATGTTCGTCAACTGAGACGATCTCTCCCGTCTTGTAGTGACTTCTCTTCATAAGCATGCAATCAGGTTTGAGACATTGGCTATGCTTACCGGTAGATCATGGGATAGCCCGACTTATTGCGGAAAGCAATCTCATCATCCAGCGCGTTGTGAATGCCCAGCTTCTCCAGCGTCCTCAACCCGTTCGGACCAAGCGCGATCGACGCGCCAACCTCTCGCAGTTCCCTCGCCTTGTCAAAAATCTGAACGTTGATACCAGGGTGCGCCTTCAGCGCGATGGCCGACGTCAAGCCGGCGATGCCAGCGCCGACGATGGCTACTTGGAGCTGTTCGTTGGTCCCCATGATGCCGATGATAAACTTTCTCAATGCAGAACATGCGCACTAGCCACGCGAATGCAAGACACGATTGCAGAATCGGGGCCCAGCACTTTATCAATGCTCCGGAGGCTCTGGGGCGCACCGGCTCCGGTTTGGAGATAACGTTGGTTGGGGGTGGGTCGGCGCCGAACCCGGCGTGACGCAATATCGACCAGAGATGGTGATACCCCTCGGACACCCCGCACCGTCTTCTTTGCAGCACCATTCGTCTGCCTTAGTCGCTGATAATGGGGTCAAGATAGCAGACTTGCAGATTCAGGATTCTGCAGCAGCCAATCCAGGGGCCGTCTTTGATCTCGCATCATCAAAGTCCACAATGAAGACACGAATGTGGCATGTCTGCGCCCTTTTGACGAGGTGATGTCGGACACCTCCCGACGCTATCTCGGCACCCTTGGTCCCGATCGGAGTATTTGCTAAGCATATTATGAGGGGCACTTGGTCGTTGGTTGGGAACACAAATGCTCTCACCTAGGTATTGGCATCAAATGAGTGTTGGACTCGGAAGTCATCTCATCTTGCGTAAACTCTCTGGCTGCAAATGGTTGTAGGTGGACCACTTAGCATCTACATGAACGATGTGCTTCATCACTGAATACCGCGTGTAATAATTCAAATGCTTTCCATTGAAGCTAGGAGAGGGGAATCTTTAGTCAAGAAAATTTGGAAAAGCCAGTCCATCCATCTGAAACTCCGTCATCAATGTGCTCCAATCCGGAAAGTCCTGCATGACGGTATTCCAATCCATCCCATCAACTCCATTCATCCCATTCATCCCGTCCAACACACCCTCCGCGCCTTCAACCTCTGACCTCTCATCAGTCGCCCCGGGCGTGGGATACGCCTCCTTTTCTGTCTCCTTCTCTCCACCACTAGCAATACCCTGGCGGATCGCCAAAGCCTTCTCTCTCAACGCCTCGAGCACAGTCATCTTCGCAGCCGGGCCCGACCCTGTGCCAATATGCCTCACATGATCCATTGAGTACTCCAATGCCTGCCATGCCCTTTCCACGTTGGGCCCTTCGGGCTTCACGCACAGATGCCACAGCACATAGAGAATCATGTGGTACTGCGGATACGCCCTCATGCTCCAGCGATACGGCCTCAGCAACTCATCCGACGCAAGACTCATCCCGTCCTCGAGGATGCCCAACGCCTGCAACAAGTTTTCCTCCGTTGCAAACGACTCTCTCGCCTCGGGGTGCTCAAGATTCAGCCACTGCTGCCTCGTCACCAAATCAACCTTCCGAATAATGAACCTCGCCACGAGCAAACACTGCCGTTGGTGCGGGATCACCGGGTTACAGTGCCTCAAGAACCCCTCCGCATAGTCCCTCAGCTCATCCACGATCTGCGTCCGCACCGACTCCGGGACGGGCTTCTCCTTCCACTCAGACGCAATCGCCGCCAGACGGTGCCACGCGCGCGAGATCTGGATGTTGATGAGCGCCAGCGTGATTGGCGTCCAGCCGGGCCTCGGCGGCGGGAGCTCCTTCATCTCAGGGTACAGGTCGTTGTCGTCGAGATTGGAAGGGTAGTTGACGCCGACGCTGAGGTTGAAGCAAGTCGGGTTCTGGATGCCGTAGTCCTCCGACGCCCTGCCGTCACGGGCTACAAGGTGCCACCACAGCCGGCGGCGGATTTCGCATTCGAAAACGGAGAGGCCGAGGCGCGTGCCGTCGCGGTGCAGGCCGATCGACTGCGCGGCTCGGATGGCAAGGCCATTTAAGGTCCACAAGCCGCGGCCTGGGTTGTGTATGCGAAGAGCTGCCTAGAGTATCATCTTAGTTCAAGTTCAGTCTTATGACAACATGAGACGCTACACACCAAGTAGACAGACAACGCCTCCAGGAGCCTGACAGAGGGATGCTCCAGAAAGTCGGCCTTGGCGAATGCTTGCTCTAGACCCGTCTTGTATCGGTGAAGGGCGGTGACTTTATCCTCTCCAGTGATCTTCTGGACCGTACTTGGGTCCAGCACGACAGTGGACACGAAGAAGACGGAGAACATGAGAGCCAGCGCCTCGAGGTGAGCATTGGCGGGGTCGTCTATCGCCGTGTAAATCAACACTTCTGCCGTCGGCCTGTGTATGATTTTGTTACACAGCTCGATGTTCTCGGCATAGTTCTTCCACAGCTCAATCGCACCCCACTTGGGCGGGAGCAGCTCTGTCAGATCTAGCTTGAGATCTGGACTTGACAAGATGCCCATGGGATTGAACGGCGACGGCGCCGCCTGCGGAGCCGGGTCGCTCCCGGGCGTCGTTAATACTGACTGGATCTCACGTTCCTTCAAGTCACCCCGTCAGTCGCGCATTCATCAGAGAGGAACAAGCATAAGGTACTGCACTTCATCTTACCTCCTCAATGACCCGTGAGATGAGCACCTCATCAAAGTACTGGCTCTGCGTCCCCTTCCTCACCAAAATCTCGTCACCGGGGCTCTTCGCATGAGACCCAGATGAAGGCGCCGTAGCCGGCCTGTCATATACAGACCTCCCCGTATCCCACCCCGACGAGACACCGCCTGGGCCCGGGGTGTCTGACGACGACGACGACGCGACCGGCGGCGACCTCTGGACCCGGAGCTGCTCCCGCCCCACTCCCGCCGTGAGAGTCTTCTCCAGGTCCGAGATTCGGCTCGCCACGTCCGCGATGGTCGTCTTTCGGACCCGGCGGATCGGCTGCCCGGCCTGCGGATAAAAGCACGGAAACCCGCCGCGCGCACACGACGAGCAGGGCGACTTCTTGTCGCAGCGGATCTTGCGCCGATGGCACAGGTTACACGAGCGCTCTATCTTTCGGCCGCTGCCTCCCCCGATGCCGCTGCCGCTGGCAGCGGTGTGTGATTGGCCTGGCGGGCGCGGCGTCTCGGAGCCCTCCGCGGGCGAGAGTCGCGGGGCCGTCGGGGTGGAGGAGGAATCCGGGCCCATGGCGTTGGAACCGATGGTGGTGGAGGAGGAGGTGGACAGGGCCGGATCAGACATGGCCGTTGCTTCCCACACCACAGAATGTGAATTTGAATCCGTCTTGGCTCTGCTGTCTTGGCTCTGCTGATAACACGCGGTACAGTCGGACTGACTGGGGGGCTTGAACAGATTACAGCAAATCGCCATCCGCCTCCAAGATGAGCGAGCGGACTGAGACTATGTCGATGACATTGCAGCTTCGGCGTCGGCGGCCATGGAAGCGCCGAGACCGAAGCCACTTCTCCACCCGAGTGGCTCGCGTAATTCGGATTTAAAGAGCGACGGGCGGCGACTGAATCAGTCGTGTGCGTCTGTGAGAATGAGAGTGAGAATCCTTCCCCCTAGAAGGATAGGCCACCCCCCTATGCCAAACATGTGCGCACGTCAGTCACACACAAGTCCAGTCCCCTGGGGCCCTGCGTGTGGGATTCATTCATCGTCCTCGTCAGCGCTTGAACGCCCGCTAGGGCCTTTGGAATGGGCTCGGAGTACGCTCCGTCCGCAAGCGTCCGTCAACAAGCTTTCTCACAACCGCTTTAAGCTTCCCCGTGGTCCCCGAATGCGTCGAACACCCTGCCATCTTCCGCCTCCACGTGTCTGATGTCTTTGGCCTCTTTCTTGCTGACGGGCGGGAATCTGGACCCTTTCTTTCTTCCTGAGGGCTGCCTTGCCACCCGCTGGGTAACTAACTTGCGCAGCAGTAGGCAGTTTACTCCGTTCGGTGAGATCGTTCATGGCAACTCTCCCACCGGCCAATCTGCGAGATCCGTATATTTTATGCTTATGACTCCTATCTTTGGCAACGCTCAATCTGCAGAACAATTCACGATCACACCGGTGGGATTTCGATACCGCCGCATCGACCTTCTCCGCGGGTCGAGACGCACCGTCGCGATGCGATGCCTCGGCACCACTTGCCTACTAAAGGCCCCCTTTCACGATGCGAGGCATGGCTTGTCGACGAACCGCTGCTCTCGTGTAACGACGAATTTAAGGTTCATCTTTCCCAGGAACACCCAAATGTCACAACGAAGAAGAGAGGATGGTAATCAAATCTCCGAGAGACTGGCCGCGTCTCATCGCAAACATGGCGGGATCACCCCGACCGACTCAGTGAAATGACTTGCGGCCCCGCCTCAAATCGTCGATTCTTTTTCATCGCGACAAAGTCCCCTCTCCCCGACCATCCTTCTCCTCAACTCAACCGATGCCTTCCCGTGTGGCAGGGACCCCGCCCATCGTTGAATGTCGCGCTGTCATCCAGGTAGTTAAGCGACGTATTGTTGCATATTCAACTGCGACGTTATCACGTAAACCAGAGAAGTAAAATATGTTGCATCAACAACCCAAGACCCTCCATCGGGATGCGAGTATCTCACTTTGGTAACGGGCCCCGAAAGAAGAAGCTCGGTGTTTTCCGATGCTGGTCGCTCAATGCCGTCTCTTCGTGACTCTCACCACGACTTCATAGGACGACGGCCAAACTAAGATTCAGCCTCTGGTGGATCCAGATCTCGCTCCCATCTCCGTTGCCAAAAAGCATTTTCTTTGGGTGAACATGTATCGTCTATCAGCAGTCCCGCGACCAGATGACAAGTCGTCAAAGAAAAAAGGTCGCTCCCTCATGTGAAGTGAAACGCAAACAGCGACTTCTGCCCAGCATGTGCCATGTGGTGCCATCCAATGCGGGACGAGTCGCCGTACCACACTCTTCCTCGTCCTCCAATCCCCAGCCACTGCTGAAGAAACATAACCTTCGCAGGGCGCCAGTATGTCCTTTTTAGGGAGTGTGTGGTGGGAAGGGCGAGCACCACTCAAGGAAAGTTTTCACCGTCGCACATGGGCCTACTTCATGCGACGTCTGGGCGCACTCAAGGACCGATGCTCGCATGAAACCGAAGTGCCACCATAGCCAAAATCAACGTGCGGGCAGCGTGTGTAGAACCTTTTGGGCACTATTATCGTGGTACTCAGGCACCAGGGCCAAGAAAGGTCGGCCGTTGGGCCCGATCACGAGTTTTTATTTCATGGTGTTTCTGAAGTGCAGTCATGGTTGATCGAACACAAAGCAACTGTGGAGATCTGTATTCGATATTGAAACGAGAGAATGGTATCACAAATTCCTGGGTTTAGCTCGTCGTCGCCCCATCGCCCGAATCCCTTTCCCGTGGGCTGCCAAGATTTGACCCGGACCGTGTGAACATTCCCGTCAGTGGTCTCTAGAGCAAAAGAACAGCAAAATCAGTGAAGAGCCCGTTTCCCTTTTTTTTGAGCCATGCTGTGGAAAATACATCATGCTCCATAAACCCGCGGTCGCCAACCGCACTGCACGCCTGACAAAAATCCATCAGGCCTTTCGACTTCATGACGAGGTGCTATCATCCAAGTCGCCAGAGTCCCTTAGTAAACAGAAGAAAAGCAGTGTCAAGCATCATTTGCTTGCCTCATACATGATTGTAAAATAAGAGAAAACATAAACAGTATAGCCTGTCCAGCCGTTACATGAACAAAAGTGATATCTGATCCGCCGCCTCGCCTGGTGTTAAAAAACAGTTGGTTCTTGTTGAAAATTCATCGGTTGTAAAGTTTGCAGGGATGGGCCTCATACGCCCACCGAGATCGGGGGCACATTTGGTACGAGGTCCAGCCATGACACGCCGGGGCTCGCTGCCCTGCCATCCCACATTGCCTTGAGGAAGGCCTCCATATTGTTACGGTACTTGGTGTTGCAGCTGTCGATGAGGGTCTTCATGGCCTCCATCGCGGTGTCCTTCTCGGCTTGGTCGCGCGCTTCGATGGCGGCGAGGGTAAAGGGGAAGCTGACGCAGCGCTGCGTGTCTTGCGACACGGTCATCGTCATCTTCAGGTCTGACATGATGCTCTTCGCCATGGCTGATGCCATGTCGTCCTTCTCGCCAAACTTGTACCGTAATCTGTGAATAAACAGGAGCGCTCCTGTCTTGTAGATGCGAGTTTGTGCCAGCATGTGGATGACCTCGCCGGTTGTAAAGCGGTTCGTAAAGTCTGGCGGGATGTGCGGTTGCCACGCCTCGATCTCCTGCTCAACGTCGTCCAGCGCCTGCTTCTGCTCGTCGACGTCGACCTCGTGATAGAGGCTGTAGCTGATCCTGCTCAATTCGTACATGTGCTGTAGTAACGGCATGCAGAGGCCGAGATAGGCGTCGACGTGGCCTTCTACCGGGGGCGCGATGCCGCAGACTGGTAGCTCGCGCTGCATGAGGCATTCGTTGATGTCGACGGCCGTCATGAATACGAGAATGTAGTGTGTCCGCTCGCTGGAGATCAAAGAGGTCCCTAGCAGATGGCGGATGTGGCTGAGGACGTATCGGCGCACTGGTGCCGCGCTCGTGCCGAGGGCCATGTTGGAAAAGTACACGATGCCCAGCCCCAAGCCTGCCCACGGCAGCAGCTCCTCGCGCTTCAGTGTTGGCAGCGGACATGACCGCAAAGACTCCACGGCCATCGCTCCCCGGTGCAGATTCGCGTCCGGGTCGTACTCCCCTGTATCCAACCCCATCGTCGCCGCAAAGGCGCTGTACATGGCGATGTAGGCGTCTTTACCCTGGTCGAACATGGAGAACAAGTGGACCGTCATGTCAAGCTGCATGCTGTCCACAAACGTCGGTCCTATGAAGTATTGCATGAAGTTGGATTTGTGTAGCAGCCTCGACAACGTCGATCGTTCCACCTGGTCTAATCGACCCAGTGTGCTTCCAAACGGGCTTAGAGAATCGAGTATCTTCGATGGCGGACTGGAGGCGGAGTCGGAAGACGAGTCTGATGATGAGTCTTCAGGCGGGCTGCCACCCCCGTTCGACAGGGACGCTACGCTGGGTTTTCGCGACGTTGGACATGGCGCCGGGCTGACGCGGGCGACGGCCGATGTCGCGGAGTTCGCTGAGGTCGTTGTCGTCGTTGTCGTCGTCGTCGTCGAGGCGATATTGGGCTTTCGTGTCGGACATGGTACGTTGCCATTGAGGCCCATGATCTTGCTCCGGATAGCAACTTTCGAGCGGCCCTTAACGGCGGACCGCGGCACGGGGCGCACAAAGACGCAGTCCCGGCCATTCATCAGGCAGCGGTCGCATTGTGGGTTACCCTCCGAGAATGTGCATTTTGACTTCTGGTAGTAGCACGGCGCGCAAGCCTTTGCAACGGGCTGTGTGACGACAGAACGTTAGCGGGGTCACGGCAACATGGTGAAGCTCTTCATGATGTTCCACGACAGGAGGAGACCAAGTGCCCCAAGGTCTAGTATACATGTGCGCGACGACCACGATGGACGACCATGATGGTCGAAGAGAATGACGTTGATGTTCACTAAACACCAAGCCAAGACAGGACGACGCCCGACGGAGATAGGCGATGATGGGAATCGCACTTCGAACTCACCATTGTGAATCAGTGTCAGGTGGGGTAGGCCATTCGAGGTGCTCCAACAGACAAAGTTCTGTGGGGGAACACAGTGACACAGGGAAAATCTGGGCCTGGGTCGAGGATACTGTCGGCGGGTCGGGGGTGATTAATATTCTGCTTTGAATTTTTTCTGGGGCTCTTCTCGTTCGGTCCGACTTGCTGCTTTGCGACTGCTTGAAATCCCTTCGTTGCGTTTCGTCAATTCGAGGCCTACGTAGTCGTCGTCGTTGTCGTCGTCGTCTTCGTCGCTGTCGTGACCCCGTTTACTGCCTCTTCTGCGTGGTGAGTGGTGCGGGTATGAAAGAGAAGACGTTTGGCGTTTGCGGTAGGACGTCGAAGAGTACGGGAGTACGTTTGAGCAGAAGCGGGCAGAGTTGGATAGGAGCGTAAATGCCGAGGAGTTAAGGAGGAGAGGGTGGGATGTAGAAGTGATGTTATGTTATGGTTGTCTGAAAGGTGCGAAGGAATACTGTAAGGTGAGGTAGGTAGTGTAGGGGGGGCCTGGAGAAGTGGAAATAAGCTTCGGGCATGGTGCGCATGGATTTGATCAAGCAGTTAGGCTGAGGAAGCGGTCTGATCCATGGTGATCATGAGGAATGATATTCGGTATCGGTACGGAGACTCGAGGCGTTTGGTCTGGTTTGGTTTGGACTGGTCTGTCTGGTGCGGCTTGGGGGTAGTGCTCAAGTCAACCAGGTAAGTATGCAGGTGCATGTACAGAGGCATGTATCCTGCAAACCCCCCCTTTTGAGAAGAAAAAGAGCCTGAAGAGGGGGGAACCGGGGGTTTGATGGAGGGGACGGGGAGGAGAGGAGAAGGTCAAGGCTAGGGGAACGGAGCGGATTGTGAGGGTGTGGGTGAGCAAGACAGGGAATGGACTGGATGGGCGGGGGTTGGATGGGATGTACGTAGGATACGGCTACGAATATTGGATTGAATTAGGCAAAGGCGCCGCACCCAACGCTGGTTGATGTGCTTGGCTTGCAATGGCTGCTTGACGTGTGCTCAGCTTAGTTCTCTCCCTCATCCTCGCTTGGTGGCCAGAAGGTGGTGGCCAGAAGGATGATGAAGACGACAGAAAGGAAAGAGTCGCCGACAATTAGGGGTCCCCGACTGCAACGCAACATCATAGGGACACATGGCTGCTGGTACAACCTGCCATTCATCTTGTGTATGCGCAAGTGCTAGGGGAAACTGGGTGCATCAAAGTACCCAAGCTAACGGATGACCCCTCCACCCACCATCATGCTACCCTTCAGCTCTGCTCTCCTCTCACTCCTCCCAAGGCACTTCAGGCGTTCCTCGTCCATGATGAGTACCTCTCGGTGGATAAGAGGCCGCATGCGGGCATCAAGCTAGTACGGTGCTAGGCAGTTAAGGGCAGTACATGCGCCAGTCCGTGCGCCTCGTAAGGAAGAGATTTGAAGAGAAGACGGAAGATGGGCGAAGGGAGTTTGTTCTGTCATGATACGTTCGGTTGAGGAGATGTCTCTCTGTGTCGTTCTCACGGTGTACTGTACTGGGAGGAATGTATGTATTCTGTAGCAGCTTCGTCTGCAGCAGGTGCAATACACCAAACAACTGGGCGATGAACGGACGTCCTGCTTCAACCAGCGGCCTTGCTTGCAACACTGCTGCCCCCCTGAAACGTCGCGGCGGTGCATTCCACATTGCGGGCACGCCCGTTGCGAGAAAAGTGGCCTGTTTTGACCTTTCCCATGCTCTATGCTCTCGCACGGATGTTCACTTGGCCAAAGAGAACCACAAGCGAGGGCGACATTGCACTGCAAAAGGAGGGGCCAACCGTCGCGCAGAGGAGACCAGCAGCAGGAGAGGAGGGGTGGATGGATGCTGTTGACGAACGGGGACTGGGCTCCTCTCGATGGAACTGGGACGGGGAGCAGAGGTGGTGGAGGCATTTTGGGGCCTTGGTTTCTGGGGGAAGCGCTGGAGGAGATTGGAGATCAGATGGACGGAATGCTGGTCCGCTGCTCTTCCAGTCGGTGGTTTTCTGGCTGCCCACGCAGAATTGGGCATTTTCATAGGCGGTGTGACTCGGGAATGGCACGCAGTAGAAGCAAGCCCAGGCCTGGGAGCCGTTTTCCCCAGCAGGGGAGCTCCTGGTTGGCATTGGCACCGAGGCAGCTTGATGTCATGTCATCTCGATTGCATGGAGGGCACGACCCGTACAACTTGTTTCCTCGGATTGTTAAGTGCGTTAGTGTGCCTCTGAGACTCTGGTACGATTCGTGCTTTTACATACTTAGCTACTTTGATAGGTCCAGTCAAAACTGGTCGATGTGTTGTTGCGCTTGTACATTCGCAGGTCTCCCAAGGTTGAGGCGCGCAGGAAGGATGGCAAGGCTCCAAAGGCGTCCTTGTTGATGGATGTGCACATCTCACTGGACAGGCACATGGCTGAGTGTGGACAAGACCCCTGATGTGGCGCTTCCGGTCTAGCTCCCGGGCCCGCGTCCGGGTTAAAGTGACAGGAGCTGGGGCACAATTGGGCGCGCGCAAGTACATGTCTTTGTACATCCTCAGCAGCTGGGAAGGGTGGCGGGGTGGCAGTGATCATATTCAGGGCTTTGGGGAGGTCTGGATTGTTCTGTTTCCTGTCTCTGTTTCGGTCCGTCCATGGAATTGTTCGATGTCATTCTTTCGGACGTGCCATCAGGGACTGGCACGGTGTCTCGGAGATGCTGATAGCGAGACAAGGCGTCGTTGAGTTGATTTGGATTTATATGTCCCGGGGGTTGGTTCGTTTCTATTCGGAGACGCAGGCATGCATATCTGAGTCCGCGGGTTTCCGGGACATAGTTCCTGCAGGTAGCTGCAGTGCTCTGCAGTCTGCACGCTGTCCACCCACATGCTGCTGTACGTAAGATATGTAAGACAGGTGCCTAATGTTCCTGTGCAGCAGCATCATGTCTGCTGCACTCTCCAACATGCGAGATAATGGATACTTAGAACCCAGCATTGATCCGTTATTTGCCGTTTGAGGTTTTTCCAAATATCCATCCCTAACTGCAGACTGCCACGTTCATCAATCAGAGCCAGTCCCATTTTAGCCGCCTGGCTTGTCCTGGTCTGTCGCAGGCTCGCAGCTGCAAGTGAGGCCTTGGGGCCCGCTGTGAGCACATGCACCTTCAGGGGTGCCTGCGCTTTGAAGTTGATTCTTCCAGGGTGCAAGGACGAGGCGAGCAGTGCCCAATCATTGCTAACGATTGTCTAATTGACCAGCGCTGCATGAGCCCTTGGTGATGTTCACTTAGCGGTTTTGCATTTGATAGAGAAGAACAGGATGTGCACATGGATGAAGACATCAATGGCACGCTGCTAGACAGACTGAGGCCATGTAGAGCCATGCTTGCTAAGCGGTAACTGAGTCGTACTTCGACCACCTCCACGCCCGGAAGCAAATTGCTCCCTCCTAATTATCCCACGTGGGAGGGCCAAATACTGGCCCCCGACGTCTTGGCGTCGTCTCTGTTTATCTCGATCAGCGCTGAATCTTTAGCATGGCGAGTCTAGAGCTTTCTGATCCTCCAAAAATAATCTCCCCTACATAGGTAGCACTCCAAACGTTGCTGGATTTAGCCCAAGCACACGTTGTATGTACACAGAGCCCAGACACACAACTATAGATTGAAACAAGATTACAATTGACACCGGGCAATTTCATACTCTACTCTCAGTCATGGCTCTGACAGACTCAAGACATGGCACTTAGAAGTCGACCATATTCTTTTTCCACCCTCCGCCCCGCCTCCTTAGCATGTCAACTGACAACCTTCGCCATGTACCTGACAAAGTAGACGCTAGTCGTCTCTGGGTTAAAGGACAGTAGGACGGGCAGTCCGCTGAAAGCTTCATCGTTGCATTCCCGGCTTGAACGGCATGGGTCTTGGCTGTTGCCCACATGCTAGCGGTCACGACTGGGGCAAGCATCAGGCCGCACGAAACAAAATGACTCCATTCCGACAACCCCGCTGTCTCTCCAGCTTCGCGCTCGGTGATCACGTTGAATGAGCCTCACAACCTCCTTCAATTCCAGCCTTGGCACAAAGCACTGCAGAAGCGGATCGAGATGCCTAATCCTACCTGTTCCCGTCGCTTAAATGTCACGACATCAGGCTTTTGGAAACGCGCGTATCCGCTTCGAATCGCAGACAGGCTGTGCTCCCCGGTGGAGGCATATGTCGCACCGTTACTCAGTCGCTCTCTTGGCAGGCGGACAGCGCCATCTTCGGACTCCTTGGCCCCTACTTGCTGCGTCAATGAGGCGATGTGGCATATCGCTATCACGAGGCGGCTGTATCCGTACGCCTTGGCGCGACTCCATCATCGAGATTGCGCAAGCCGTTGCCCCCCGACGTCAATCTTGCTCAACGAAATAAGGCCATCAAGGGCCTCAGCTTAACAGCTTGCAGTTAAAGCCGAACATGGCAATTTCCCACTCCGGCTGACAGAAGCCACTAGAATCCCACTTCTGATACACAATGTCACTCCGGATATCTTTCCGTAAATCATCTCCTAGTTCATCCATCCTTTGCCCCGTCTGAAAGGGCCCTAATATCTGGGCAGACTCAAGGTTGACTCGCCGCCGCCAGACTTTGAGCAGAAAAACAGACTGCCAGAAGGTCCAGCCCGCTTGTTAGACCACCTCTAGTCATTGTGCAAAAAAACGCTGCAAAGGGACAGCCAAGTTCCGAGGCCTGCCCTATGAACGCTCCAGGCGCACCTCCTTTAACCCCAGATTTTAGGGCTCTCCCTTGAAGACTGCCCCTGCAGGGAGCTTGAGAGGCAGATGCCATCGCACACCCCTGCAGGGAACGTTGTCAAGCCTGACTTCCCCCTCCTCTCACTTTCCTCTTCTGCTGGCGGACCGTTCCTGGGAGCATCCCGGAGCCGTTGGCAGCCCACGAAACCCGATTCGCCTCGTTTGCGGTGCACGTCTCTCCCTCTCTTTGCACAATTAGCATACTTCATATCTCCTTGACGAGAATCACCCATCATCCTGTCGCTTATCCACGCGCACGCAGAGTACTACCACCCAAATCAAGGTTTGAGCAGTCCCTGCTTCTGGCCGCAGATCATCCCCCCCTCTTGCTTCTTTGGATATCATGCTTTGGCTGTGCCGGACAGCTCGGACGCTCTTCGAGCGAGGGGGGCCTGCGGTTCCGCAATCCGGTCCCCCATGTTCCAATGTCCCCTCCGCGCCCATCGACCGCCTCGGTGACATTCATCTGGAGATGGTGGTCTTGGCCCGAACTCCGAGGTGTGCCGCAAGCAATTAGAAACGCCATTTTAACCGTTGATTGAGTCTGGGTTGCTCCAAGTTGGGCTAATCATAGCCCGTTACCGCCCAATCAATCCCTTGGCGAACCTCTAGAAGCCATGCCTCAATGAGGCTGTGACCGTTGGCGTTGTTCCTCAACATCGACAGCCATTCCTCCCGTTTTATCTGCCTCGTGACGACGACTCCGCTTGGCATAAATGAGTACCCTCTGTCAGTGTTGCTACCCTCAAGTGACTCGACCCATATTCTTTCACTTGTTGAAATGTGATTTCACATACCAGGGCGGACTAGTCCAGAGAGCCACCACCCCTCAGCCATAGATACGAGTCAAGAAGCTCGAGTAGCTTTGGCCATAGGCTATGCTTTTCGCGTAACTTCTGACGAGATTGCTGATACCAGACGATACAGGATCCAGCATACTCGCATTGTTTGCGATGCGCGCGTATGGCTGACTCGACAGAGCCTCAGAGTCGTGCATAACAAGCTATGCTGGTGCTCTGGTGAGTTGCTCTCGTACCAAGTACCGACATTGTCTGCTTCCTCACGCAACGTGGAACACGCTCTTAAGCTCAGTTCTCTGTGCTTCGCGCCCTAGAGCAAGGAGCTTGGGCTATCCCCCGGCCCGATACACGTGCTGCGGTTTTGTCCCCATTCTTCCCGCCTTCTTCTCCCCCGCGGTCCCCGGGATTGCGGGTGAAGACGGGACTTCTCAAAGGCCCCAGCGGCGGCGCCCGTCGTGTCTTGTCCCGCGATTCACCCGTCAACACACTCCCGCTGACATCGTCCTCCTTTCGATCTGTGTTGCGCGGCTGTTGTTGCCCCTTCTGCTTTACGTACTCCACAAGAGTTTCCAACTCGTCAGTGAATCGAGAATCCGTGCTCTTGCCAACGGGATGCCCCAGTACTTGTATTGTTTCCGGGCTGTTTCCGATCTGTCGTGCCCTGTCTCCCGTCGAGATCCCGCTCCATCTCCGCAAATCTCCGCTGATAGGCCATCTTCGAGGGGAAAAGAGTGGTTCGGCGATCGGGCCATTTGCGTCGATGCGGCTCTTGGACTCAACGTCAGGTCTCACTCGTCATGCCTCGTCAACTACATGGCCATGGAAATAGGGATGCTTGAATGGCTTCCGCTGTGATACGGCAGTGAACCCACAATCCGAACATGATGGGGCCGGCCCGTCGTTGCTTGAATTTAAGGCCGTGACGGGCGTTCTGATGATGCAGGCTGCCGCATACTTTTGAGTTTCTTTCTTCCCTTCTAACTTTTCTTCTTCGCAGTTTGCCGCCTGGAGGCGCACCTTGTTGACTGCTATATAACTCTGACGGGGAAATATATAGAGGGAGCGTAACCTCTATAGCTAATTTATAGGGTATATAAAGGGGATTTTTAAGCCACCTAGCTAAGTAGAAGTAGCCCCCTATTATACTATAGCCTAAATTTAAAGCCCTCTAAGATAAATCTTATATATACCCCCTACCTAATTAATATAGCCCTTACTACTAGTAATATTAAATATCTAAAAAAGACTAGTTTATTATATATTTAATAATAGCTTAGTTATATCCTTATAACTAAGAATAATAATATAATATCTCTATACCTCTTTATAATATATATTAAGCTCTTAGAAGACCTTTAGAACTAAGTTCTCTATTAAATTAAGTAGAGATTTAAAAAGATCACTAAGAACCTAAAGGATAAGAATAATACGAGGGAGATTAATAGGATATTTAATAAGAAGTATAGCGAATAGCTCTAAGAGTTAATTACTATTATTACCCTTATTTAAGTCACGATATAGTGGTTAAGGAGACTAGCCTAGGTTAGGGTAGAGGAAAAAAAGGGTCCTTATATTCCCTTTAGTTATATAAGTATTCACAAAAGAATTATTCACAAAATGTACTTTTGAGTTTGGAGGGCTACCATACCATGAACTTGGTATCCATCTGAATGACAAAGTTCGATATCCCAAGAATCGCCGAGAGACTTCCGTACCCGACTGCAAGATGGTGGTCTAATCGAGCTGGGAGTCCTGCTCTGCTTCACATTGCGCGTCCTCTTCACTCCAAAACTTGCAAATATGTGAGAATGCCTCTAGTCATACGAGGTGGTGGTGGTTATGAGCACCGCTATCACCACAAAAGCCCCTGGGTTGATTCGAGACATTATGATCGCCCTTTTCCATCTCATACTGGATGCCCTCCATCGACGTTACGTACTGGTATCGGCCTGCCTGAACATCGTTCTCGCATCAGTTGCACATTCGACCGCTTAGGTAAGTCAAAAGTGCATTTCCCAGTCCTTTACGATTTCCTTTCCAGGATGTCCCGGTGACGAAGCCACTCCGCACCGTCCGTCTCCCCGCATCACCATCTCCCGCCCTCGCCATGACCTCTGGTCTATCGGCAGTTATTTTATTGGCTGTTAAGCTTTCGGAAGCCATTTGTGTCGCCGAACCAACGTCTTTGGCCATTATTGTGAGGAAATGCCGTCTGTTAGGCCAAGCTAGCCAGGCCGGTGATGTCAATAACGTTCTCGGCCTCCAGAGTGATACGAGATCAGAGTCGCATACGTGTGTTGAGACGTAAATTGATCCTGTATCTGAAGCAGTCCGAAGGGATCGTAAACGCACCGCATAGAGATATCTAGCTGCCACCGTCCTCGAAGGTCTGTGGTCTGCATCTGATTCCTGCAACCTGCTGGATTGTGACATCGCTCGCCATCATTACTGTTCTCAACGTCCATGTTCCCCAAGAGTTGGTAACGACGCATCCTAGAACATAGCTAGTCATTTACCCGCGCGCACATACACATCCAATCATGGACTCTCCCCTCGACGCCCTAGACCCGAACGACCGGAACCACACCTACACCGAAACGGCCGGTCTTTTCATCCGACAATACTGGCATATCATTCTGTCTGTGATCTTGATCGGAAGTGTCCTCCGCACCCGGTACCTCTCCCCGCTCCGGAGCTATCCGGGCCCGGTCCTCGCGTCGACTACCCGTCTTTGGAAAGTCATCACCACCGCGTCCGGCCGCTCGCACTTACACCATGTTGCGTTGCACCGAAAGTACGGACCCGTCGTACGCATCGGGCCCAACGAAGTATCTATCGCCTCACCGGAGGCTGCTAGACACGTGCTGAGCGCTGGGAAGAGGTTTTACAAGACGGCGTTCTACGGAGTGTTTCCTCCGCCAGAAAACCCGGACATCTTCACTGAGGTCAACGAGGAGGCTCATGCGCGCAAAAAGAAGGTTGCCAACGTGCCTTACAGCATGGCGGCGATGCAACATCTGAGCCCCTTTATTGACGACACCATCGATCTGGTGGTGGCGAAGCTTAGCGGATTCGCGTCGGCGCCTATGGAATACAAGGCAGACAAGTCCGTGGACCTGGGAGCATGGTTGCATTACTTCGCATTTGATGTTTTGGGAGAAGTAGCCTTCTCGCGGAGCTTCGGCTTTCTAGCCGAGGGAAAGGACGTCGAGGATGCCATCGCGACGATAGATCGCTCACAGGCATACAATGGCATTGTTGGTCAAATCCCCTGGGTGGACCATCTGCTCCGTCGCAACCCTCTTTGGAAGCTTGTGCCAAGTCTGGACACCAAGAACGCTCCGATCACGAGAATCGCGCTAAGTGAGATGGAGAGACGACGACCGTTTGACAAGGAGAGTGAGGGTAAGTTGAGGAATGATGACGGAAGGCAGGATCTTCTGGCAAGTCTGGTCAAGGGGCACCTGAAAGACCCTGAGAGATTTACCGAGGGCGACGTCTTCGCTGTTGCTCATGGGGCGATGTGAGTCGCATCAACCTTCTTAGACTGCTGGAGTAAGGCTGACATGGATATTACAGCTTTGCCGGCTCGGACTCCACTGCCTCAACTATGCAGTCATTATTCTGGCACGTTTTATCCTCACCAGACGTTCATAAAAGGCTAGTAGACGAGATCACCGAAGCTGTCGATGCCGGTGTGCTTCCCGCCACAGGAAACATTTCATGGAGTGACGCCCAAGGTCTTCAGTACTTCCAAGCTTGCCTGAAGGAAGCCATGCGGGTGCGGCCTGCTGTTGGGCTCAACATTACGCGTGTTGTTCCCCCTGAGGGCGCGGAGCTGGACGGGCACTTCTTTCCTGGCGGCACCGAAATCGCAGTCAACGGATGGGTCTTGCACCGAGACAAGCGCACATTTGGCGAGGATGCAGACGACTTTCGGCCGGAAAGATGGCTGATTGAGGTTGACAATGCCAAGAAAATGGAGAGATACATGTTCCAGGTAAGCACATTCGGCCTAATGAAGGTTGGTAGTCTGACGAACCATATCAGTTTGGCGGAGGCAGCCATGTTTGCATAGGACGCAATCTAGCACTGCTCGAGATCAACAAGATTGTACCACGACTTTTCAGAGACTTCAAGTTTGAGTTGGTCCATCCAAGTCAGCCGCTGAAGGCTGATGCCACGTTTTTCGTGGTGCAGGAAGGGCTTGAGGTCTATGTTCAGAGGCGGGACTTACTTTAGAAAGTTAATAGTGATACGTGGAGCGATTTTTCACAGCTTTATTTTGTGATAGTTCTTAACCTACAGCACATGTTTCAACTAAATTTAATGATTGAGACAGTAAAGCCAGGCTGCTTCACCAGACCTTGCTGTCAGCCTTGAAGTAAAGGCCCTCAGATGACTCAGAACTTAACCTATCCATCCCATAATTGAATTGCCCATTTCTCTCTTTCTCTTTCTCTTCTTATCTCTTTTTGCCTGCTTGAGCGTTGAGTTTTGGCACTTCGCAGACTCGTAGGACCACGAGCGTACAAGCTTTGCACCCCACATATTGTATTGATTCACGTGCTAGCACCAATGAAAAGCGCCGATGGTTTAGTGGTAAAATTCTCCGTTGCCATCCAGCAGCGTCGGGGAGCCGGGGGTTCGATTCCCCCTCGGCGCAGTTTTTGCCCTAAGTTGGCCTCAATCCAGCGTCACAACCGGTTTCTTTTGCCATAGTCAGCTATGGTTATTCATGGCAATGACACTGTGCATACAGTAAGTATGTTATTTGTCCGGGAAAGTTGCAATAAGTGTTCTTTATTTTAAGAATATCAGACCTAACTTCCTTGCGATATGCCGGCCCTCTGTGATGCATTGCTGAAAGTATGAGAGAAATAGTGGAAAACGTTCATTAACTACCATCGGCTATCGACCTTGATGCGGTACTGCCCTCGTATTCTGTAACTCCCATTCATCTCTAGATGATCCTGCGCGCGATGCCTGAAAGGACGGAACGGCCGAGGATGCATTTGCGCCACTTTGGATGTAGCGGGTGGCGATCCTTTCTTCGGTCGTTTGTAGTGATATTGAACGACTTGAAACGGGCCTAGCAGTCGTTGATCTCCACCCTCTGCTATCCCTCGAATCTTCTTGTTCACCCACTCTGGAGGCCGGGATGCCGTCAAGCGGAATGTCTTCCCACCTGCCGAGATCCATCCCCCTCCTATCCCTCCATGTGGAATCGTATCGTTGGCGCCTTCTGTTTTTGATTTTGCTAAATTGCTTTGAGAAATAGAAGCCAAGGCGGCATACGAGCCATGGAGGGAGAACCAAGGGCCAAAGGGAGATAGCGCCAAAGTACCAGAAACTTAGGAGGACTTTGTCTCCTGTTCTGCGTTCTGTAGCTTTGTACCAGGCTGGTAGCGCTGCCAAGCGGAAGTTGTTGATACAGACAAGAGAGAGAACGCCAATCATGGCGTATCCCAATATGCATGCTACGATAATTGAATCTTGGAGTTCCTCTTGAGACGTGTTGGGGTCGAAATGTGGCGTACCCACAGGCCCTATCATCATGCGAGACGAAAATATTGGCGGCATGGTGGCGATTGTAGTATTGAATAATGCGATGCAAATATTACAGTGAACGCTTTTTGTGTTCGATGATGGTTCAGAGCTCGTGGGGTTGTAAGTTAAGAAGGCGAGAATGATTAGACACTGGGACGGAGACAAATCTCGTTGGACTGATGTATTTAGGTAGAAGGGCGAAAATCTTGCTAATTAGGGTTCTAAAGATTTTGGAAAAGCATGGTCATCAAGGCGGAAAGCCATAAAGGGTTGACGTAGAATTTGGGACGGGGTCGCCGACTCCATGGTAAAGTCCTGTTCGTCGAGCTCCACCTGGCTGGCCGTATACTCGACTCAATGGCGATAAAGGTTCTGTATGAGAACCTCGACGGTAAACCGTCTCTACTAAATGTTCACCTTGTAGCTTCTCTGCACACAACAGCAGAAATACAGAATATTCATATCATATGAAGAACGGCAAGTGATTCATATTCATTCTCGTCAACTCTATGTAGTTTGTCTGCATTCACTGGACTCAGACAGCACGGACCGAGGAATTCTAGCATTGGAAACCGGAATGCACCCATTGTAGCAAATTGGTGAACGGCACGGATTTAGTCAGGACAAAGGTTGCTGGATCATACTTCTACTAGGAACGGGGCCTTCATTGAAGCTGCAACACAGACTTATCTTGACCTAAAGGAAAACGGGCAATAGACTGAGCCAATGGGAATAGAAACATGCTTTTACTAGGATCGTTGGACGTTCTCATCACTATACGGGGTATCAAAAATCATGTATGACAACTCAAGATGCCTTCTATGTTTGCAAAGTAGCTAGCCTAAGACATAGGCCTCTTCCACGCCGTGATTAATAAGTGAGGGTATAGAGTACAAGATGGGAGATGTCTATAATGCGATGCCAATGTTGATGCTGAGTCCTTTCCATATGCGTGCTTTGTCGATACCAAACTTCCCGTCAATTCCCCCGTTACTTAGAAAGCAACAAAGATCTTCCAACCAGTCCTCTTCATCCTGGCAATCAGGATGAACGTTGTCCCCGCAATGCAGAAGACGCCGGAGAACACCTTGATACCCACCCAACCTCCGGGCCCTGCCAGGATTGCACCGTTGATCGGGTTCGTCGTCAGTCCTCCGATTGAGTTCGTCAGGAAGGTAATTCCCGTTCGGAATCCAATCTCCTGGAACGGCGAGATGGCTGCCACCAGCGGCGCAATCAGCGACACGTACGCGCCCGAGCAGAAACCAAACAGCACGGCGAAAGCGATCAGCGCGCCATCCGAGTTGGCCGGGATCCAGAGCGCCAGCATCCAGATGCTGGTCAAGTAGCAGACCACCACGAAGATGTTGTACTTTCCAATCTTGTCACCAAGAATGCCCGAGAAAATACGTCCAAACAAAGACCCAGCATTGAGGATGGCGACGAGGTACTGCGCCAAATCCGGGCTCATGCCTGCCTCGAGGGCCTGCACCTGGATGTAGTTGATTGGGACAAAGATGCCGTAGGTGAACAAGAAGAAGCCAATGACGACGCAAACGAACTCAAACTCCTTGAACGGGCGCAGGAGCATCTCCCTGGTGACCTTTTGCGGACGCGGGGGGTGGTAGGCGCGGACCGTCAAATTGGCAATGATGAGCAGCCCCAGGATCATGAAGGCGCAGGTGCGCATGGCCCAGGGGTATCCGACCTGCTTGATGAGTCTCGTGACCATGATTGGGAAGACGATGCCGCCGATGGAGGAGCCGGTCGAGAGGAGGCCGAACGCGGCGCCGCGTTTGATGTTGAACCAGCCGTGGATCGTGTTCAACGCGGGTTGGAAGATGGCCGAGACACCAATGGCAGAGCAAATCCCCTGAGCAAGGAGGATCTGGTAGTACTGGGTTGCGAGGGAAGTCATCATCAGGCCGAAGACGTGGAGAATCGTGCCGAAGAAAATGAGCCAGCGGGGGCCATAGTTGTCGTAAAGTGTGCCGATGACAGGGCCCTGTGGTCTCCAAGTCAGCCAACCAAACGATGTAAGAGATATTAAAAAGATAATGACTGACCATAGCCATCATGAAGAAGATCTGCAGCGAAGGGATCCATGAAATCGTACTCGGAGAATAGTTGCTCAACAAGTCATTCTGATAGTATTCCTGAAAAGCGCCGACACCTAATGCCACGTCAAGTTAGTAGTCGAAAACCACACGACCAAGAATGAGGCTCAATGCAAGGTTCCACGCGATGCAACGTACTGTTCACCCATCCAAAACTGCAGAAACTAGTACACCACGCTCCGAGAACAACAAGCCATGCGGTTGCTCCGCCATCTGGCGCATCGCTTCCGGGATATGACGGCTTCACGGGAGGGCCTCCATGTCCCTTCTCCGGGTCGGCGACGGCTTGGTTCAGAGTCGATGGCTGGCCTTCGGACTCGTAGTCTGTCCTGTCTGGGTTGTGGTCGGCTTTGGTGTCGGGCATGAAGGGCTGCGGGTCTGCGACGGTTGTCTGGGAGTCCGCGGGGGACGAGATGTGTTGTCGATTCGACATGTTGTGTTTCTGGCGTTGTTGTTTGTATCCAAGAGAAAAGCACACTGCTGTACAGGTTCACAATAGCTTGAAGACGTTGGCCGAAGTGAGCTTCTCTTTGACTGCGGAATTGTCTAAAGAATCAGGTCCCTGGAATTCGAGATCCAAATGGGACAGGGGCAAATAAGTAGTCCAGCCCAAACGGACAGGCAAGATTGAAAAAAAGAATCAAAGGCGTCAGCGGTCCCACGTTCCAGATGGTAGGTCCGCGCCGTGAATCTCCATCGGACCAGTCCAGGTGTGCCTTACGGCCCACCGCCCCCTATCCCATGTCCAGTTGACAAAACAAACACCCAGATCTCAGGCAAACAGACACCCCATTGTGACGAAAAGCACTCCAATCGGTTTCCGATAGCACCGAATGGATCTGAATCTGACCAAGCCCAGCCGCATATTTCGCCTCGCGTAGCGAATTTGCGCGGCCGCCCCCGCTGTGATTGATTGTTGTTGGTCGAAACGGGTCCGGGACTCAGGAGGTGGACTGGATCCTTTCGGCGGGCGGCGCACTCGCAACCGCCGAGGCCGAACATGTCACTCACACCGAAAATTTAGGCTGAAGGTACCCCACGTGGGCTGTTACAGTCTCACGAACAGACTTCGGCGCCGAAAACTCCACCGCGACGAGGGAGAAAGGGGCCGTGGACTCGGCTCCCTGCACCGAGATTGGCTGGCCTTATCAAGCTAAAGATCTTTAAGAATGCACGCCGGTGGGATTTCCATGAGCTTGATTTGGATCTCGTGGAGCCCTTTTCACGTGGATTTATCAGCTTGTGCTGGCTATGCGCTAGCTAACATCATGCAAATCATCAAATAACCTGACTCGATCTGCCGTTTTGATGATGACGGTTGCACTTTTCTTTACAGTTGTGCCATGGATGAGTTCCTACGGATGCTTCCCACCTCCGACCGATAGCGCCGAGCATCTGGGGAGATCCAGATTTCCTTTACTTGTATGCTGCAGATCAATTTTCGCAAGGCACGGCGCTGGTGACGCCGTGATCCGATACAAATGTCGGCGCCGCTGAGGAGGGGAGGCCGTGCCGGAGGGATGCCGGACATAGGCGGGACCGCCAAGTCCGGCTCCGGCAATCTTCACCTTCGTG